CTGACCGAAATTTTAATATTGCTGTACCAGTTAGTTTGGAATTTCTCTTGGTGAGTTTCCTTCGCAAAGATAATTTGATAAAGTTTAAACAAATGTCACAAAAAGTAAATTGTATGAATTTTATGATAAAAAATATTGGAATCTTTTCGTAAACTTTCGGTAATATATAATGAGAAAAGGTATAGAAAATTATAATGATAATTAACGTAAATTGTATTTCTGATTAATAACATATGATATTGCTTTACCTTTTTTTTTGCTCAAATATAGCGCCTATAAAATTGGAAGCAATTTTTTGAACATAATTGAAAATTCAATAGGTTCGAATACATTAAATTAAAATTAAATTAAAAAAAAGATTTTAAAATGTTTCTAAAATTATTTTTGAAGAGGATTGTTCTTAATTTTTTATATTTTAGATTGATTACAAATATTCGGCAAAATTCATGGGCCTTGGACCTCAAGGTACAATTAACGCCAGAATAACAGGCATTGATTTTCTCTTAAACTTGGGACTGAACTCAGAAACTAATGATTTCACACTGAACAGTATCGACATTCAAAACACAGGGTATGTACGAAACTAATTTTGATTTAAAAGAAAAATCACCTACGACTAATAGTGAAAAACTTGTTTTTGTCTACACCTCCTTCCTATTGGGATACCAAATCCAATAAATTAGTTACTATTTTAATTAGTACGTATTAAACAATACTATCATCATATTAACTATTTACCTTTAATTCGGAGAATCCCACGGGTAGGTGAAATCGAAGCTTATCATTTTCAAATGATGCTGTTAGATCTTTATGACGATATATAGTACTCAGTTTTTGTACCCTTCCATTTTGCAATTTCAAGGAGCACTTATGCGCCAGAAAAGAATAGATTGTAATTTACAATTGAAAATTAAATAGTTACCAAACTAATTTTGATTGGTATAGTATTCTACGTACGAAAGCGAAATTCTCGAAAACATCTGGAAGAGGCACAGTATCGCAGCAACATTTTTCTATCCAATTTGAAAATGCGTTTGTTAAAAGATCAACAGGATTACTAAGATTTGTTCGAAATTTCGCGACATCAACTTCAATCAGTTTGTTTTTAATGTCTTTGTTTTCATTATTTACACTTAAAGACCGCAATGAGAACGCAAATTCAAGTTATTACTGATAAATACTACCTTTTTAAACTTTGTAACAGTTCCAAATTAGGTTCCAAAGTCAATTTAAGGCTTACTGATAAATTACTTCCAATAAAGATAATTAGAAGCAGAAATATTAAAATAAGTCCATTATGCAGTATTTTTACTTTTTTCATGTTTATTCATGGGAAACTTCTTTTCTACGAAATAATAATAGCTAATATTAATTTAATTAGAGCTAGTAAAAAGAATAGTTTAAAAACTCAAGTGTCAGCCATTTTGAATATTCGCCAAGTTACTGTTCTAAGTTGGGACTGGAGACACATTTTATAATGTTGTGTCATTATAACCACTTTTATTTTGACGTTTATCTAACCCTACTTTATTCTAATCAAAGCAGAAGTAAAGTAGTGTAATTTTTGTATAAATGTCTTTATGTTTTCGAGAAAAGAACAAATTCTTAAAAAAACAGGCCCGAATGGTATAGGAAGGTATCAATTTCTTAATTTATTGGTCCAAGAATTTCGACTGACAAAATCATTAGGTATGATAAAATAAACTTACCAAATCATTTTCCAAGTTTGTATTAAACTGTTCTGTTAAATCTAGAATGCAAGCAACAAATATTGGCAAATTTAGCTAATTTTGCATATGATCCCATAAACTACGAATTTATTAGAAGTTTGTCCATCATTGACTTATTCATAAGCCAACTAGCACTACATGAACATGAAAGTCTTATAAACTACGCTGTTGCAGGATTGTGTAACTTGAGTGCAGGTATATTGCATTTTAATAAATTAATGTTTTATCTACATGTAGCATTTTCGTTTTAGATAACGAGAATCAGAATATTATCATTCAGCAGAGTGGCATCACTTTAATCACAAAACTGTTACTGCATAAGAACAAGGAAATTGCTTTAAATAGTTTAACTGCTTTATTATTTTTAATTACTCCAAGCAACAAACAATATCTTACAACAGAAACAATATACAATGTTATACAACTGAATGAGTCAAGNAATATTTTTTATAATTTATTTAAAAATGAAATAATAAAGGAAGCCATGATTATTTTCTTGAAAGGAAAAACTTTACCAATGCGAAGCGTTTGTGATAGTTTTTTAGGTAATTCCACAAGAAAACAGAAAAACAAATGAAAAAAATAAAAAACTAGGCAGATTTTTTTATTTTATTAAATATTTTATGTACATTTGTTCACTTTATTTTTATTTGCTTGCATATTGATTAAGCAACTGCTTTAAGTACTGTATTTATAAGATCAATGCTTTCTTGAATACTGTTTTTAATTGTTTCCGTAATCACATTTCTAAATTTGTTTTTAAAAATAAAAATCAGTTTTCCTGATAAAAAGTTAAATAGTCCAGCGGTTACCGAATTTGCGTTAAATTTTAACTGAAGCGACCTGCAATATTGATCGGATTTAGACAATATGAAACACCTATGCATGTATTATTTCTACCCCATACTGTTATTTTCGAAACGAAGTAGTGTTACATTGGAGATGTTTGAATTGATTAACAAATCCACAGTAAATAGAATCTCTTTCACGCTAGTTGTAATCTGACCAGACGATCTCAAACCAATGAATTCTAAGCAGTAATCATATTCAATCTATAAACAAATTTTTAAAAAAAAAAAAAGAGATTTTTAATTAGTGTAATTAGGCAAAATTATTACCAATACAAAAGTGGACTTAACACCTCTTAAGAAGGGGCTGATCATGAAACACGTCACTCAGAATTTCACCTTTTGAACCCCTCTCTAAGACACACTCTCAGGAACTCCCCCAACAGAGCTATCTCACCCCCTTATGAACGATTTCTTTTGATTAAAAATAGCAGTAGCATATCGTAATGAAAAAAGTTAACAAAAAAATTAAAATAATGATGAACCACGAACGTTTCATTTCCTTAGACTCCTCTCCCTATTTGACATATCTCCGTCCCTCACCCTTATTTCTAAATGTATTTTAAAAATAACCCCTGAAAAAATATATCAATATTCTAAAACTTTATGTTCAGGGGTTTACTTTTTTGTTGTGACATCATTCAAAGTTTTTTATATCTTTTTTTGTTCTTGTATAAGATAATAAAATACAACAGAGAGGGCATTAAGTCGCCATCTGTAATATAAAGGCGGCTAATTATAGTTTTAACAAAGTAAGCTAATTTACAGTTTCAGGATTCCTATCGGTATATAATGTTAATTTACTTGCTAAACAGAAATTTCTGCGGAAATGTAAAGCAATTAAATCACAATAGTGATACCTAAGCTTTTAAAATTGATTCTCCTTGCAAAAGAGGGAGTTTGAGATTCGTCTCTTTCAAAAATAAAACTAATTTTGATTTGATTTATAAAATTCTGCTTCCGTTGTCGGAAACAACTATAATAAACTAATCGGAATGCTTATATTTAATACAGGTATTCATTAAATTTGTGCTAAATATTTAACTATTTGTAAATTTTAANCGCTATGAGAAAGGAAAACAGGAAACATTACAAGGAAAAATTACGATACTTATAGACTAGGAACGATTCATGTATGAAAATGGTTCCCATCATAATAGTAAGTTTAATATGTTACCAGAAAATTTTTGTTTTATTAATATTTTTATTGTTTCTTACAATTGTTGTAGTAATTCATAACAATTATTCAAACAGTTGAACACAATATTATTTTAGGATCTAGCAATTTTTCAATATGTAATTAAAAAGTAACGATTAATAGAGCAGGGGGCCATTTTTATACACTCATTGTCCGTAGTCCTTTGCGGACAGACGGTCCCATAATATTATATTAGTATTTGTTAAAAAGGTCCGTCATTTTAATATGGACGATGCGCTTAATTTGATGGATGAAATGTTCAATAACATATGATATTTGTATACTAAGAAGAATCAGATCATAAAAGGATTCCTTAATCCTCCCGGTCGTACTTGCTTAACTTATCTCTTATTTGAACCAGACGTTTTTGGTATGCAATAGGGGAAACTTCAATAGAATCGTTGTTGTATATGGTAGGAAGGTAGAACTTCCTGTTTGATTTCGATAAGTTCACCCTTTATACATTTCATCACATACATTTCCCACGGCGTGGCGTTACAAGAGTGATAACATAGATAATGTACTTTGTAAGACACATGAACATTTCAATTACTTCTTTTGCCCTATAAATAAATAGCAAATTAAAGAATTTGTGTGAATTTCCCTGTGAAAGTCCTTACTATAAAAGAAAAATGATGATACTTTTTTTATTATTTACGTATTAAAACGATCTGTTTCAATAAAATTTGTCTCTTTTAATGATAGAGGTGGTTCTTCATGCATGCATTCAAGAAAATCCTATTTTATACAATTCAAAAACTTCAGCATTGTTTGTTATGTTCAAGTCAAAATCTGTGAGTTTAAAAGATAACTATGTTATCTATTATGAAGACAATTTTCTGAAATCTACTCATAAACATTAGCATAATACATTTACTTTAAGTAATTTAAGTAACATTAGAGTAATATAACCTTATCCTAAATTAGTCAGCAGTTTTAGGGTGAAAGTATGTGTAAATATTTTGAAATAAACGACAAATAGATCCCTAATGTCCTGTAACTTAAATGCATAACAATTATTAAAGCGCTTAAGGTATTTGTTTTGTTAAACGTTATTAAAGTTTCGTTCATAATTTTTAAATTGTTATTGTCATTATTAATTAATCAGAATTAACACATTATCAGAAACACTGAATTTTAAAAGGTTATCATCAACCGATTCAAAATTAATAATACTGATAAACTTCCAAGTCCCTTCACTTGGAATTTGAATTTTAAAGCGCGTATCTTTTGTTAATAATGCTATGAAAATACAAGCAATAAATTAACGAAATGGTTCAATTTTTATTGTTCTACGCCTCCTAAGGGAATAAAAATGCATCCTGTACCATATTATTAAGGGCACGTTCAAGCACCCCCTTGTTTCGTTAAATCAGTCTAATAATACCCGTATGAAATTAGAAATGGTTCGGAAGTCATGGGGTAGTTCACATTACCATCTAATACATAATATCTTCAAATGTTACTCAATAAATATCAATTTTATTTTTTAACTTGTGTGAGATGTTTTTCTTCTAGAAATATTTCAAAAATTGGCACAAATGAATTAAACTCTGTCCAAATTAAAAGAATAGTAACTGCTAAAGATTTGGAAACATTTGCTACTTTGAGCGGTGACACAAACCCTATACATTTTGGAGATAAAGCAATTGTTCATGGTGCATTTTTAAATTCTCTTGTATCAGGCGTGATTGGAACTAAACTTCCTGGACATGGCACAATTCTAATATCACAAACTTTAAATTTTCCTAATAAATGTTTTGTAAATGAAGTTGTAACTGTTACTGTTAAAATTTTGGAGCAACGTAAAATAGTAAAAGTTGAATATGAGTGTGAAGTTGAGGAAGAAAAAAAAATTGTCTTGTATGGAGATGCAAAATTAATTTGTAATAAAAATAAATAATGTCATGAATAAAACTTTTTTCGCCAATTTTGCGTTTTTTCTTATTTTATTTACAACAATCGTTAAAATATGTGTTCACATTAAAGTCTTAATATTGCATAAAATTCTCAACAAATTAATTATGCTAGATCACTTATATCGCAAACAAATTAAACCTACGATTTTAAAATAAATGTCGATTGGCCCTCAAATTCGTCATTTTCCTGTTGCTGTTGCGTCATTTCTGTAAATCCCCGATATATTTGGTGCTTTCCAAAGTGTTTTAATCCTATATTCATTTTTAAGCATGGATAAGTTTAAAATATGTATTATGTTTTCGTTAATACTTGTTACATTTATTAAATATACAATATAATCAGTTAACATAAACAACTATATTGTTTTCGCGCTTTACAATATCGACAGTGTATGTNGTTTTTTTATGATGCATACGTAGACTAAAGAATATTTTCAAAATTGTACCACCAAGGGAATCGAAATGGGGTGATAAAAATTGTATGGAGCATTTCTGTTTATGGTTTAAACTAACTTGAAACTTAATTTTAATGCATAAAACACCTACTTCGGCATTTTAAAAAAATAAACCTTTTAAGGAGTTAAAGGTTTGAGCTTAGCCAAGCGGACTGGTTACGGCTAATTACTTATAAATTATTTAAATAAATAATTATTTTAGATTAGGATTAGACTAGATTGGGATTAGAGGAATCTCATTTTCGTATTTGACTCCTTTGCCGTATAAAAACAAAAATTACACATTTTGCCCTTACGTTAATCATGTCTAAAAGATTAGCTGTGTGGTGTGTTGTTTAGGGGTATAGTGTATCTCACAATTTTGGACAGGGTATGAGAAGCTGAAGAGAAAGTTATAAGATAAAAATTGTATAAATAGGTTTTTTGGAAGAGATCCATAAAATTTTGCGATTTTGCCTGCCTTCCTTGCTATCGGGTACTAGTTGACATGTAATATGCAAGTGTGAAGATGAATTATTACGTCAAAGCGGTTTGACGAATTTAATGTGGTTTCCATAAGACTATGATGTTATGGTTCCTTCAACTTATTTTTCTTATCGTTTTGTAATCTATTTATTTGTTAGTTCATGTAGCTTATCAGTCAATATAAATAATGACTGCACATATTTTTCCGCAAAATCTACTTGTACCAGATGACAAATTTCTATCTCCGCGTACACACTGTTCAAACAGATGCAAATTCTTATTATTTGCAACTCTGTCACCGAATACTTTGCGTATTGTTAGACATCCACACAGGTACCTAATTATGCAGTCAGTGAGTGAGTGAGTGTTTGCCTTTTGCCATGTCCGATATGTGTAGGTACATCAACAAGACTTAAGCTATGCGCTGCGCGGACCGTAATGTAAACAGTCCAAATGGTAGCTAACAATATTGTAATAAGTAAGTACGTACATATGATATGTACTTACATAGTGATGCAATTGTGAAGGGATGTGTTTATTTAGAACACATAAAGCAGAAATATGGTCGCGCTGAGCTGCGACACGGGGTTGCCCGGTTGTCGACCCGCGGGTCCAACAGTGCGTAACACTCTCCCCCCGGCAGTCCCTCGCGACCATCATCGTTGCCCTTTAAGTTTGATCGTCATCCGAAAATTTACAGCGGTGCCAAGCACAATCAAAACTGTTAGAAACATATCTGTTCATTTTATTTGCTAATCTAGAGAAAGCGCATTTATACAAGAGATAAAACCCCTGAACTACTTGTAATACCTACCACGAGTGCATTTTTGAACTTTTTTGTTTAATTTGAATCGAATGCATATCTAGTTCACATCTATTTGTTCTTGTTCCTGAATTCTTTGCAGTTTTTCCGTAGTCCGTTCTGTTGTAATAATCTACGTGTAATCAGTTCCAGATATGATTAAGTATGTAGAAGCATTTACAAGTTGTCAGTCTTTCTCAAGGCGAAACGTTGGCTGTAGTTTTCGAGTAAATAAATAAACTTTTAACTTCCTTGTGGCTTTGATTTCAAACCGAATAGAAATATAGAGGAAGGTTGGCTAATAAAATACACTTAGTTCCAAAAATTTTTATTAAAAGTCATTGCAATCCCAAAAAGGTATTTTTCATTGCGTTTACGTTTGTGTATACTAATGGGCGTGAATAAAAATTCTTTAAATTTATTAATAAATATACATTCAAATACTTTTGTATTGATAGACGTGACAACAAGGCTCCTTACGCAACTAGATTCTAACATAGAATTGATAAGTTTCAAGAATTTTCATCATTTTTACGCAACTATGAAGTGAGTGTTTGAAAAAAAATTAATATCTTTACGAAATGTAACTCCAGAACTTATTCAAAACTTGTCCTTTGATATTTTATGTATTTTAAAAAGAAAATTGGATTGTAAATTGTAATTCAATAATTTTAGTATGTACTAATAGAAACTACAATTTCAGTAGTACATAGCTTTTGCTTTTGTCATACGAAATCGTTATTTGGTGACCTATTAATTAACTATGTCCGCTTAATCAGTGTTTAATGATTTATATACCTCAGAACAAATTGGTTATTGAACTACTAGTGCAATATTTAATGTTCCATTGCGAATCGAAACAGTAACTTTCGATTTAGGTAATTTAAATTAGACACTTAAAATAAAACCAATTTTAAACTTTTCGAGACA